GTGTCGGTGGTGACAGCGATCTCGGCGATACCTTGGTATGTGGAGGCGGCCCTCGGCCTCCTCGATTTCATGCCGGCAGCGCTCATTCTCATCTTTTGCTTCGTCCCTTCTGTCAGCGCCTCCATCTTCCGTGCGTGGTCGTGCCAGGCTCCGAGTCGCACACCAGCCGGACTGTGTCGTTCAACCTTGTTCCCTCAGTCCTCGCAACGTGTTGCTCGTAGGCCTACACCATCTCTCCGCCCGGCGAGGAGCTAGAGCAGGTCTCCTACATGCGGCAGGACGCGAGCGTTGAGTGCGGCACCGACGAGCACAAGCCCATCACTAACCTCGCCAAGGGCTTCATCGTCGTCTGGCCGATTGGCTCGCTGGTCCTGTACATGTCGCTCCTCGCCGCCTGCTACAAGCCTCTGAAGAAGAAGACGCGGACTGCTCTGACGCGCGCCACTCGCTTCCTGCATCGAGAGTACGCGCTGACCTACTACTGGTGGGAGGCTCTCGAGCTGGCGCGCAAGCTCGTTCTGACGGGCGCGGTGCTGCTGATCCCAGAGGAGCGCGCCTTTGTTCGCCTCGTGGTGGCGACGCTCGTCTGCGTTTGCTATTCGGTGGCGATCGCCCTCGTGCGCCCCTACAATCGGGTCGAGGACGACGTGCTAGCCGTCGCCACGAGCCTCGTGCTCCTCCTCCTCTTCCTCGGCACCAACTGGACCACCATCTACCTCGGCATCGAGGAGCGGTACCAGGGAGCCGACCCCGCCGATGTCCTCGGCTTCAGCAGCCTCAATGTGATTGTTGACTCGATGATCGCCCTGGTCGCCGCCGTCCTCATCTTCTTCCTCATCGGTGCCATCTTCGCCGCCCGTCGCGTCGCCAAGCTGCCCACGTTCCGCCTCGTCTCGACCAACCAGCAGCCCGAGCTGACCCTCGCGCACGGGATCAAGTGGCACCTCTTCAACAGCCACATCTGGAGCACGGGGCAGGTGGCCCCCCCTGCTCCACTTGTGACTTATGTGAGTAGTCCGGAGAGGCGGCCTTCCTTCCCTTAGGACGCCGCCGCGGTCATCAAGAAGCAGCTCATGCTGCTACTACCAGGGGTCAAGATATTCCTCGACGCGCGCACATGCTCAGCCGCGCTAGCTACACACAGAGCCCCTCTGACGCACCGCGGTGTGCGCATAGGTAGATGATCTCAAGGACATCGGGGCGCTCGAGGAGTACATCCGAGACACGACGATGATCCTCTTCTTCCTCTCGCAGGGCTACTTCCGCTCCAAGGCGCGCCAACCCCCCACCGATGTCGTGTCTGCACACGGGCTTCACCCCCCCCGCCCCCCCCGCGCCGCAGAACTGCCTCCGGGAGGTTCGCTCGTCGCTCGAGATGAACAAGCCGATCGTCCTCGTGCAAGAGGCGGACCCGACAAAGGGCGGCGGGACGATGGAGGAGCTGCGCGAAGATTGCCCCGAGACCCTCCAGCGGATCATCTTTGAGAGGCACCGGCCGCACGCAGTCTGGATGCGAGCCGAGGACTTCCAGCGCGTATCGCTCAAGATCATCGCAGAGGCGCCGCAGGCCGCAGCCACGGCCGAACCAGCATCTCCCCCACACCCCGCACTGATGCTGTAGGCGCTGCTCCTCTGCACGCCCGCCTACATGAACAAGGTCTCCCTCCCGCTCTGCATCGCGGACGAGTCGCGGATCTCGTCGTTCGCCTTTAGCGAACGAGTGACGGTCCGGGTCTCGCTTGCCAACCCGGGCGCAGAGGATCTGGCCAACGAGCTCGCCAAATCCTTCGCCGGCCTCACCGTCTCCACTGCCGAGGAGGCCGACGACGCGACCCACATGCTGCTCTACCTCAACCAGGAGACATGGTCGGACGAGCGGCCCGGGCTGGCCGAGCAAATCAAGCAGGCGCGCGAGGACAAGCTCAAGATCGTGATGGCGCACGAGAACGACCCCGAAAAGGGCGGCTGCATCTTTGCGAGATTTTTCGAGACCACGCCGCAGGAGCTCATCGCAGATGGGCTGTACCGCGACATGGCGCACCCGTGCTTCCCGAGGGCATGGCCGCACCACGAGGCGCGCGCTCTCTCTGTTCACACTCTCTTTGCCTCCGAGGCGCGCAGCGCTCGACGTGTCATGTGCTCGTTGTAGGTGTCCCTCGTGCTCCTTGCAAAGCACCTCGGCGCGACCGCCACGAAGGGCCTCCACGCGCGCGCTTCGGCGGACCTCCGCCACACGGGGAGCTTAATCAGACGCACTCTGGGTAGCCTGGAGCCTTCGCGGCAGCCCGGCCGGAACTCACGCACTCGGGGCTCCGTCAGCACGGAGCCTTCACGCTTTCGGCCCTCCGTCAGCACGGAGCCGTCTCTGCCGCACACCATCAGCATGGAGCCAGAGCCGACGTCCACACCGGAATCAACATCGGAAAAGCGCCTCGGCAAATCCCGCACCTCGGAAGCAGGCAGCAGCCGTCCGATTGTGCCGCGAGACATCGCGCTCAAGTACGCGGAAGAACAGCGCCGCGGCAGTAGTAGCAAGCAACTCTCCAGGGTGTAGAGCGACGACTCTCGGGATACTAGCCGTTGAACGCATTTTGTCGACGAACTGTGAGTTGGTGAGAGCTAGGCGTTCCATGCCAGTGGGAGAGTGGGAGGGGACGTGCCCTTCTGCGCGTAGCGCGACGGTGAGCACGTCGTAGTCCCGGAGTCGGTCTATGTTGATGTGCAGGAAAAAATCAAATTGTAATTGACTCAAAAAATCCAGGACCAGCTGCAAAAAGCTGCTATTTTATTGAGCAGTCTCCCGTGCCCAGTGTCGTGAGAGCAGTCTCCCGAAAAGCGCCTTGCACTTGGAGCACTTGGAGTGCAGTCAGCAACCGCACATCCAGGGCCGGGGAGCTCAGAAGCGCACCCAGCGGGCCGGATGATTGGCATCGGGTTGCGGGCAAGAGAGCCCTAGCCCCGGGGGGGCGCGTTCGCAGGGAAAGGGCCGTAAAGTAAACACGGGTCTCCGAGGGTTGGCTCCGTGTACCGGGTTTCCCCTTAACTGCAGGACGCCCCCTCTACTCGGAGCTAATGAACACCACCCTGCACGCCTCACACGTCAGTCGTCCTTGCATATTCTTTTGCAAGTTTGACGCATCCGACAACGTTGACGAGCTCCGCAAGCGCTTTGCCACCTTCCCGCAAGGCAGCCATTCGTACAAGAACATTTCGGGCGAGCCCGCGCGCACCGCCATCATCGGCTCAGCATCATCGGCTTCTGCCAGAAGTGGCAAGTGCGCCGGGGCGACGTACTCGCGCGAGTACCCACTCGTGGGTGGGAACACCGCGTACGAGATCGTCGTTTCGTCTGGCGCTCGGATCATGGTCGTGATTCCGTACTCCTTCTGCTGCACCGTGATGGCGGACGCGCACCAGTGCTCGGTGTCGACGTCGCGCGCCGAGGGTTTCGCCGCGCCGCTGCAGCTTTAGGGCAGCATCGGCCCCAGCCCCGCCCCGCCACGCTTGTCGCTTCCTTGTTCAGAGGAGGAGCGCGTGATGTGGTTGACGTATGTGCGTGTTCTATCTGTCGTGTGCGCACACGCCACACCAGTACATTGTGGGGGGTACCCGAGTGCCGAGTCAGTCTGACAGTTGCTGGACATACTTTGTTGTCCTATACGTTGCTCTGCGTATAGGTCGCCCCCCCTTGCCCCACCACTTTGTGTGTGTGGAGACGTTTCATGTACCTTACCTTACCTGTGTTGGAGCCTGCACACGTACTGCACACGACACACGTACTTTTCCGGCAAACAAAAAGGAAAACAGAGGGTCCCCAGCACTTTCGACTTTGCGTTTCCGGAAATTTCCAGGGAAAACAGAGGGTGTTTGGTGCTCCATTCTGTTTCTCTCGAGTTTCCCTGAGTCTGGGGAGAAAGGGGTTTTTGAAAACCAACAAGAAGAACTGAGTCTGAGAGCTGGATGGAGGATGCTGGTCTGGCTCTGGCCTCTGGGCACTGGGGCAAAATCTGAGGCAACGTTGAGAGAGGATGAATCGGCAAACTGCTCAGATACCTGGAAAATACCCGAAAACAAACAATCTCTCTCACGCGTTGCACGTGCGAGGCATGTGTCGAGTCACGCGTAAGCACATGTGGGACCATCACATCTCGACGTGTGAGCTCAGCCAGCGGCTGGGGCTCGACTCGATCGACATGTACATCGCCCGCCGCCAGCTGCGCTGGCTCGGCCACGTCGCGCGCATGGACTACGACCGGCTGCCGCGCCGTCGAGCCGCGCCGCATGCTCTCCGCGTGGGTGCCCCACCGGCGGCCCATCGGTGCGCCGCGCATGACTTACGGGCGGTCGATCTTCAAGGCACTCGCGAAATTCGGCATCGACTCGGCGCGCTGGCATCTACTCGCGGCTGATCGCGCTGCGTGGCGCGAGACGCTGCGGTCAGGCCTCGCCCCGGCCGAGTTCCGCCCGCCTCCGGCTCCTCCGTCGCCCGAGCGCATCTCGCGCACTAAACCCGTGCGGGGCTGCACCGCGGCCACGATGGCCCGCGTTAGCGCTTCGCTGCGCCTCTTGGCTTGAGTCAGGCTTCGGGCCTGGCCTAATCGCTCGCGCGCGGGTGTGCCTGCTTGGCTCAAGCCAAACAACAACAAACACTTATGGCTCTCTGATGCCCAATGCGTGCACTCGTCCCTCTCTGTATGTGTGGGTTCGTGTGTGTGCGGGGGCCCTCCTTGTCTCTGCCTAGACAGTGTGAGGTAACACCTACCTACCTACCTACCTACCTCCCTCTCTCTCTCTCTCTCTCTCTCTCTCTCTCTCTCTCTCTCTCTCTAATACCCGTAATCCAGTATGCTGCCGATTTTGCTGATTTTGGCCCCCAAACAGCCTCAGACTCGGTCCAAAAGAGTTTCCCGGGAAATCGAAAGGAAAGGAAAAGAAAAGGAAGGGCGTGTGTGAGAAGCTTCTCACTCAGATGACGAACCTCTGGGCTGACCTCTAGCTATCTGCGCTCCCCATTTGCTTGCTACCCATGTCAAGACGCATCTACCTCATGGTTTTGCTCACTCTTCTTCCGGCTTCGGGCCACCTCGTCGGCGGCGGGCGCCATCCGGCGTCGCGGATACGCGCCCCCGGCGCGCGCGCCGACGGCGCCGCCGCAGCCCCCACGTTTGAGAGCAAACTCCGTCACTTTGCGCCGGCCGCGGATCTCCCCGCGCTGCGGACCGAGGCAGCGAGGCTTGAGAACGATCTGCAGTCGGCGGTGGAGGAGCAGGACTTTGCCGCCGCCGCGATGCTTCGCGACGACATTTCCCAGCTGCGGCAAAAGGACCCCGCTTTTCTCGCCAGCAACCTGCGCGAGCGGCTCGAGGCGCTGGTGCGGCGCGAGTCCTACGGCGAGGCGGCGACGACGCGCGATCAGCTGCTTGTGCTGCGGCGGTTTCAACCGCAGTACCAGCTCGCCGGCTTGTGGAAGGGTGCGATGCCACGCCAACCGATCCCCCCTCCCCCTCTCGCCCCCCCCTGCCCCCGGCCGCGCGGTCGTGCTCTGAAGCGGCGTTCCCAGCCGCCCGCGCCCCCCCCGCCAGCCCCGCCCGGAGTTGCTGCGCGCGCGCTGACCCAGGCCTCGCTCCGCAGGGAACTATCCCAACCACGGCGAGGCGACGATCAAGATTCACTATGAGGGCGATACCCTCGTCGCTGTCAAGGTGCCCCCTCTCCCCTCGTGCAACCCCCCCCCCCCTCTCCTCCTGAACCCCATTCGCCCTCCGCCCAGGTGACGGGCGACGAGCACGTGCCCGCCGGCGAGACCACTTTCCGCGCCGATCTGACGACGCCCTACCAGGAGCCCGCCGCCGTCGAGGCTGTCGAGGAGGACCTTGTCGGCGTGAGGGTGGAGGTGGTCTCGGTCGGCTCGGACGGGACGTCGCAGCAACGCGAGGTGGAGCGGTACCAGGGGGAGGGGCGCATCGCGGCGCGCGGCTTCCAGCACGCCCACTACGTGCCTGGCCAGCTCTTCCTGATGGACAACGACGTGATTGGCTTTCTCTGGCTGCAGCTTGGGACCTTTGTCGTCTTCAACCGTGTGCAGGACGGGCCCGACGAGATGATTGAGCGGCGCGCCGTCGACGCCTAGGATGCGTTATGCACCCGTTTTTTCGCTCATGGTGCCACATGATTGATAGGACCGATGCCCGAACCAGAACCTTGTGTTGTACCGTAACCGTTGTGTTTGTGCAGAGAGATGTATGAGAGATGGAGAGGGCCCGCGGTACGGGGTTTCTTTTTCTACTTCTTTCCTCCAACTTGGGGAGAGAGAGATTTTTAGAAGCCAACATGCAAGTTGCAACAAGAAATCAAAAGTTTTTCTCGAGAAGTTTTTGTGTTTGAAAAAAGGAAACTCTGGGCCGGCGCGGGGGCCCCAGAGGGTGTCCATGCGGGGGGGAGATGGGGTCCCCTGGCCCGCCGCAGGCGCCGATTTTTTGGAGTTTTTTTTTCGCGATTTTTTACTTGTTTTCATGGGAATTCGGCGTACTTGCGGCCATGCTATCACGCCTTGCGACAGCCTGTCGGCGCTGCTGCCCGTGCCCCATGATGCACAATTGATCACCTGCATAGCCCTCCCGCCCCACGCCCTGCGCCTCACGCCTCGCGTCCCACGCACGCCCCGCGCCCCGCGCCCCCACGCCCCTCACCTCGCGCCTCACGCCTCCATCCCCACCCTCTCAGGCATTTCTCATCCCCGCTACTCGCCGACTCCTCCTCCCCCGCATGACCGACGACTACCCGTCCTTCAGCGACTCCTCCCTCCTCGGCGCCAACGTCTACTACCGGGGGACCGTCGCCCTCCGGGCGTACTGGAACGATCCCAGCGGCACACGTCTACAAGGGGGGACTCCGAACGGCCGCACATGCTTGGCATGTCGGCTAACTAGGTAGGTCATAGACCTTCCCGAACCCCGCATGTCCGCATCGGGGGAGGGCGGCTCGTAACTGAGGTTCGCCGTCAGGGACAGTCGTCCTCCCCTCAACCCGACGAGAGTGGGCGGGCAGTCCTCGTGGCTGCAGTCGCGCTTCCGAGCCGACTCCGCCCCTCTCTCCACCCGGCCATTCCAACGGCCAGGCCGCTCGCTTAAGGCTGATTGGCTAGACGAGCGGCCTACCTCCATGGGGCTGTTGGCACGGGGGGAGGTGTCAATCACGCTCCCGGGACGCCGGAGAGATCGGGTTGGTCTCCCCCGCCTTCAGCCCTGACCCGACGGGGACGCCACCACCCTCGCCCAGGGATCTACAACGCTGTCTTAAGGTCCGACCTGTGGGCTCCGGCCTGCGCTCGGCACCGGGCACCGCCTCGGTATACAAAACGCGCCTGCGGGCGGACCCTCACAGATCACAGATCACCTGCATAGCTCGCGGCCTTAGTACCCAGCATTCAGTGACGACCTGATCGTACGGCCAGTAGGAAGGTGTCCTTCCAGCTGCGTGCACGCTTCTGGCGCAATGCGCGTCACCTCGGATTGGCTGCTGGCACTCTCGAGGCTATGCCTACACAGCCTCGCGCGCATGGGCAGTCAAGAGGGACCACGCACCTTCTCAGGACAGCGCCGGTGCCTCTCCCTTGGACCGGCAAACGTGGTGGTCTCGTGTCACCAATGTGGGACCAGTGCGGCATCGCGCCGATCGACAGCTCTGAACTGCGCCTCACCACTGACCGGGAAGGCCGCCAAGTGGGCCAGCACAGGTCGCACATTGTGGCAGCAGTCAGCAGTGCATGGCTGATAGCTAGAGCAGCAGCGTCAGGGTCGCAGGGTCGGATCGTGTCAAGCCTCTCGCCCGGCCGGCCGCGTGCAGACGTCGGCCTGTCTGCTGTCTGGAGTGATCTGTCGGCGGTCAGTACGACCGATCAGGTCGGACGTCGGAGTTTTCTGATGGTTGGAGGGTCTATCTGTATGTACTCCTCGAGATCTCTCCAAATCTGCCCTCTAATCAACCGTAATCATTCGGGAAGTCGGTGCTAATAGAGACTAATAGAGCCGGAGCCCCGTTTCCGCACTGCGGCGCGGCGCACGGTGCCTCCGGGGGGCCCCGCGCCGGCCCAGAGGAAATCGATGTGATGTGCAAAGCATACAAGAAGGGGAGAAGGAAGAGGTAGAGGCGACTGCTTTTTCTTTTCGCTTTCTCTTCTTTCTTGTTGCAAACTTACGATGCACAGCTCGGCTGCTGCCGCGCAGCCAGGGTTTCTTTTTCTCCGCAAAGAGCCGGAACCCTGAATGGTGGCGGGCAGCATCTTTGGCAAGGCGGGTGGAGCGAGTGACGCGGCCTCTTCCAGCTCTCTGGGCAGCCTTCCCGCAAAGGCGGCGAAAGCGGTTGTAAAAGGCGACGAGGCGGCGCTGCTGGCGTGGCTTGACAGCGGCGGGCGGGTCAATGCGACTGGCGGGACGGGCGATGTGAGCGGCGTCACCGCGCTGATGCTCGCCGCCAGCAGCGGCCACGAGCGGGTGGTCGAGCTGCTGCTGCAGCGCGGCGCAGAGATCGACATGCGGAGCAGCAAAGGCGGCACCGCGGTCATGTACGCCGCCCAGCGGGGCCGCGAGCGGGTGGTCGAGCTGCTGCTGCAGCGCGGCGCAGAGGTCAACAAGCAGAGGAGCGACGGCGACACCGCGCTGATGGACGCCGCCGGCTACGGCCACGAGCGGGTGGTCGAGCTGCTGCTGCAGCGCGGCGCGGAGATCAACCTACAGAGCAGCAGCGGCAGCACCGCGCTGATGGTCGCCGCTTTCGAAGGCCACCCCGCCGTCGTGCTCCGCTTGCTGCGGGCTGGCGCAGACGCGTCGGCGCGCAGTGCGAGCGGCAAGACAGCGCTGCAGCTGGCCAAGGAGAAGGGCCACGCCGCGTGCGTCGAGGCCTTCAGGCAGCACGTCGCGGAGGTGACTGCGAGCCAGCGCGAGGCGGCGGCGGGCGGCGCGGGCGGCGCTTCCTCGGGCGAGGCGGTGGCGGGAGCGAGTGCCGCGGCCTCTTCCGGCTCACTGGGCAGCCTTCCCGCAGAGGCGGCGAAAGCAGCTCTCCAAGGCGACGAGGCGGCGCTGCTGGCGTGGCTCGACAGCGGCGGGCGGGTCAATGCGACTTGCGGGGATTACGATGTGAGCGGCATCACAGCGCTGGCGCTAGCCGCCCAGGAGGGCCACGAGCGGGTGGTCGATCTGCTGCTGCAGCGCGGCGCGGAGGTCAACCTGCAGAGCAGCAAAGGCTGCACCGCGCTGATGGACGCCGCCGGCAAAGGCCACGAGCGGGTGGTCGAGCTGCTGCTGCAGCGCGGCGCGGAGATCAACCTGCAGAGCAGCAGCGGTTTCACCGCGCTGATGATCGCCGCCCCGCACAGATTCGAGCGGGTTGTCGAGCTGCTGCTTCAGCGAGGCGCGGAGATCAACCTGCAGAGGAGCGACGGCGGCACCGCGCTGATGCTCGCCGCCCAGGACGGCCACGAGCGGGTGATCGAGTTGCTGCTGCAGCGCGGCGCGGAGATCAACATGCAGAACAGCGGCGGCGGCACCGGGCTGATGGGCGCCGCCAGCCAAGGCCACGAGCGGGTGATCGAGCTGCTGCTGCACCGCGGCGCGGAAATCAACAAGCAGAACAGCGCAGGCGTCACCGCGCTGATGGGCGCCGCCAGCTACGGCCGCGAGCGGGTGGTCGAGCTGCTGCTGCAGCGCGGGGCGGAGATCAACCTGCAGAACAGCAAAGGCCGCACCGCGCTGGTGATCGCCGCCGCCAACAACCACCCCGCCGTCGTGCTCCGCCTGCTGCGGGCGGGCGCGGAGACGACGGCGCGCGCTGCGAGCGGCAAGACGGCGCTGCAGGTTGCCAAGGAGAAGGACCACGCCCAATGCGTGCGCGTCCTCGAGGAGCATGCGGCGGCGGAGGCGGCGGCGGAGGCGGCGGCGAGGGAGGCGGAGAGAGCGGCGGCAGAGGCGGAGGCGACGCGGCATGCCGAGGCGCTACTGGCGGGGGAGGAGGCGGAGAAGGAGGCGGGGGAGCGCGCCAAGGGCAAGAAGGGGAAGAAGAAGAAGAAGAAAGGGAAGGGCGGGGGGGGCGGCGCTGGGCCGTCGCAGGAGCCCGAGGATGAGGCAGCGCTGGCGGCGAGAGAGGATGCGGAGTTGGCGGCGGCGCTCGAGGAGAGCGCGAGGCTGGAGGTCGGGGCAACGCGTGCGGCGGGGGATCAGGTGCGAGTCGCCGAGGGCGCTTCGTCACCGGCGGCGGAGGCGCCGCCTGAGGGAGAGGAGGAGCCGCCGGACGACTTTATCTGCCCAATCACGACCGAGGTCATGAGCGACCCGGTGATGGCGGCCGACGGGCATGCCTACGAGCGGTCGGCGATCGAGCGCTGGCTCGCGACCAAGTCGACGAGCCCTCTGACGGGCGGCGCGCTCGAGCACCCATACCTCACCCCCAACCACATGCTGCGCCGTCAGATCCGGGACTGGGAGGGGGCGCGCAAGGCAGTTTGACCACGCATCCACCCGCGCACCAGCACCACCCTAGTTCCACGGGGTGCTGATGGGCGTCTCCCTCGCCCCCTGGGTAGAGTAGGGCGCTCGCGGAGATGAAGCTGCGGCCCGAAACCCCCCTTTTCTTCTGCACACACAGCACACCGCAACGAGGGAGAGAGCGTGCGGTGTGCGCGCGAAGATCCTAGCACCTAGCTGCACGCCGGGCGCGGGGCGTACGGCATTACGTGTGTTGCGTTCGTTCGGTGTAAATCTCACGCAAAATAATGATACACACCGATGTCGAGAACGAGAGCGATCGTATAGTTCGTACAGGGTCGGTCAGGTGGAACAGGCGTGAGACACAAGTGACGGACAAAATTTTGCCTACACAAGGCCCGTCCTAGCGCTACGCGCGACACCGCACGGGTCACGGCGCTGCTGCCTCGCTGCTGCACCGCTGGGAGCGGGAGCCTGCAGCCCTTTGACGGGAGCGGTTCTGATGGATGGGGGGACGGCGTCGAAAAGAGCCCTTGAAAGAGCCTGTTTACGTAAAGAGCCTGCAGCGACACGTCGAAAGATCGCACAAGGGCGGGGGGACCTGTTCCTTTTTACCCATCTCACAGTTTGTGTTTAGAGGTGTCCGTTATTTATTTATTTTGGCACTTCCACTTGGTACTTGGTGTTGGACTAGAACTTCCGCCAACTTTGAACGTGCGGGACTTTCCGGATTCCGCATCCCTTGCGCCGTTCCATCCTGCCATCCCGCCGTCCGCCTTTGTTTTGTTCCTTTGTTTGCTTAGGTGATTTTGACCGCGCAAGATAAAAGGGTGGCTAAGGGCTCTGCCCGCAAGGCGCCCGCGTCGCAGACGCGGTACCATTGACAAATCTGCGATATACCCCCACACGAGCAAATAGCCAAAATCCGAATACCGTGCACGAACTGCGTGATGTGGGCCGTGCAAGCCTTCAGCTGGTGCCAAGACGTGCGTAAAATTTGAAATAACGAAGAACGTCCGCTTCGGACGGAGCAACTGAGGGAAGCCGCTGATCGAGCCCAGCGTGCCCGCGGCCGCCTCCCGCGCAACACCGCCGCTGGGGACGACACGCTGCGGATTCGGATCGAGCCCGGGGGGCGCGGCGGGCCGCTCGATGGTCGTCCGCTTCGTCTGCGACAAGTCCATCCCAAAGGCGCGTGTCCTGCGATAGATAGACTCGACGGGCTCACCGGCGCGGGGTGGACGCAGGACAGATGCTGGCGGCACACATGGCGACAGGGACACACGGACAAGACACCCCCTCGCCTCTCCCTGCAGCCTGCCGACCGCCGCCGCTCTTTTCTCCTCCGCCGCCCGCCTCGCCTACCGCCTCTCCCTCCCTGCCGCCTCCCACCCTCCCCCTCGCCTTCTGGCCTCTCCCCGCCCCGCCACCTCTCCACTCGCCACTCCCCTCCCTTCGCCATCACCGCTACCCTCACCGCAGCCTCCCTCACCGCCACCGCCCCTCACCGCAGCCTCCCTCACCGCCACCGCCCCTCACCGCAGCCTCCCTCACCGCCACCGCCCCTCACCGCAGCCTCCCTCACCGCCACCGCCCCCTCCCTACCTCCAAAGGCGGTCCTCACCGAAGCCACCGGCGGCAGCCTCAAGTACAACCTCACGGTCCGCGCCGCCGCCGCCTGCCCGGTCGGTCGCTGCACAGCCAGCGCTGGGACTCGTCACACCTTTGCCACCCTCCTTGCGGAGCAGGAGGAGATCCGCTTGCTGTACTTTGAACAGCGTGCCAAGACCTACATTGAGGAGGTGCTCGTACCGGCGCTCGGCATCAGTGTGTTTTACTACGTGATGGAGTTTGCTTGGGCCCGTCGCTTCCGGGACCAGGGAGCGGCGGGGAGGGGGCAGATTCACTTCCATCTGCTCGGCTGGCTCGAGAGCGGCGAGCCACACCATATCATCTCGGTCGGCAACTCGAGGGACTCAGTAGTTGTGACCCCCCTGGAGTGAGTGAGGACAGGAGAGAGAGAGCTTTGTGGTGTTGGTGTACGCAATAACGGGACAGGGTAGTCGTTCTCTCTAGCTCCCCTTCTAGCTCTTAGCATGAGCTGCGCCCTGTGTCCGACCCCTTTTGCGCAGCAACACCTTAAACTTTTCAGGCCCTCCAAATTCGGGTCGGAGCGTAGCGGAGTGGGCCCCGAGTTTGAAAAGGGCGACGGACGCTTGCGTCCTAGCCTCCAACACAACGCCTCCCCGGCGCAGAGGGGCTCCCGGAGGGATGCACAACCGACCCGCGCCACGCCGCTTGCGGCGGTCCTCTTCCCAATAAATAAATAAAACGGGCACGCCAAACGAGGGGTGGGAGAAGGACAGGGTCCCCACCTGCACGAGCAGGATCTTGTAAGGACGATCAGGGACACAGGGGAACGGGAGCGGGGAGCGCATCGCGACACGGAGGGGGGCTGGGCAGGGTTCACCCACACGACAGGGTCCCAGGGATTCCTCTCTCGTATAGGACAGGTTGCACCCGGCGGCACGGGGGCAGGCGCGGGCCTCCTACTGGTTGCGCTCTCCTAGTTCTCACCTGCTCCTGACAAGGGACAGCGACAGGCTCGCAGCACGGTGGACTCCCTATTCCACTGGCGATCTCTCTCGACTAGCGACCTTCCTCCGGCTTCTCACCAGCAGTCTCTCACTACCACGGGCACACTGACAGAGGCGGCCAAAAGGCTCACGTGGGTGGCAGGGCGGTGATAGGAGTCTCCCACTCTGTGGGCTTCGCTAGAGGTGCGGCCCCTGCGCGTGTCCTCGCCCTTGAAGGGGAAGGGGAAGGGGCTGTGTGTGTGTGTGGTGTGTGTGTGTCCTCTTCCCAGCTCCGCGGCGCGTGCGTTCTTCTTTTAACCCCTGAGGCCGGCGTATGCACGCCTGTGGTGGGCACACTACCTGTGGGCACACTAGATCTACTGCAATGTTGGCAGATGTCGCGTCGCGTCTCGAGAAGGCGGTCGAGACGGCACGCACGAGCGGCGCCTCCGACGGCGTCACCGCCCAGCTCGAGCTCCTTCACCAGCTGAGCGGCCTCCTCTCCGTTGCCGGGGAGGAGCAGGTCAAGGCGGTGCAGGGGTCCATCGAGGCGTCCTGCCTCGGCGCGGCGCTGCTCGGCCCTCCTCCGGCGGTGGCGCAGCTGTGTGCAAACGTGCTCATCACAATCTACCGCCGCGGAGCGCGCACCACTCTCTACACGACTGTTGGCCAGCTCCTCTCCTGGCTGAGCAACAAGGTTTCGCCAGCCAGCGCCCCCGCGGCGAAGCTGGCAACCGTCCACCTGCTCGGCGGGCTCTGCGCCGCGCATGGCGGCGCGATGGTCTCGCTCTGCCTGGACTCCATCACTCTCCTCACCAAGCTCACCCGCAGTGCGGAGCCGTCTGTCCGCCCGATGGCGTGGGCCGCCTTCGGCCGCGCGTGCACCGGGTCGGGCGGCGTGCCTCGCGCCGCGCAGGATGAGGCGGTCAAGAACCTGAAGCACGCGCTGACGGAGCGCGGCTCGACCAACGAGCTGCGCGCCGCCGCCCTCGCCGCCGCCCCCATGCTCGCGGCCTACTCCGAAGGCCTCTGGGCACTCTTGCTGCCAACGCGCGGCTTTCGCAGCCGCTCGGCCTCTCTCCGGACCCCCCCCCCCCCCCTCCCCTAGGTGGCAGATCTCTTCGAGTCGCTCACGCAGCTCTGCACGCGCGCTCTCGACGACGCCTCCCCTGTCGTGCGGGCGGCGGCCGCAGGCGCGCTCGCGGACGTCCTGCTCGCCTCTCTGGCGCGGCCGGCGGGCTTCGGCGCCGCATCGGCCGCTGGCGGGGCAGGGGGCGCCAAGGGGGCGCCGCGCAAGCTCGGCCTCAAGATGAACTTGCCGGGCAAGCGCGCCGAGGCATCCTCCCCCATCGAGGCGGCGGCCAACGTGCTCTCGGCGCCGTTTGTGAAGCCGGGCGCCTCGAAAGAGGCGCGCACTAGCGGCACATTGCGCACTGCGCGGCCGCCTCTTCCGCAGCTCAGCCCGTCCCCCCCCTCTGCGCAAGGTGCGGGCCGGCCTCGCGCGCGCCACCGTGGCTGTGTTTGGCGGCATGAAGCGCGCCGAGCTGGAGCGCCACTCCGAGTTTCTCGTCGCCCAGCTGCTCGGTATGTTGAACGGCGCCGCCGAGGGGCAGGGCGGCAGCAAGGCGTCCGGACGGGGCGACTTCGCCGCCGAGGCGATCTCTCACGCGCTGCGCGCCGGGTTGGGGGAGAGGCTTTCGGAGCGCGGGCAGCAGGCGATGGCCACGTCCCTGGCGGCGCACGCGTCGTGCCGCGCCTCCCCAGAGGGGCTGACGTTGGTGTGCCTCTCGCAGCTCTACCTGCTGCTGCTGCAGCTCCGCGAGGTCGCCGCCGACGCGCGCGACCTGCTGCTGCAGGGCGAGCGGCCTCTCCTCTCCCTTGCCGCGTCGCCCGTCCGGCAGCTGCGCCTGGCCGCTTGCGCTTGCCTCTGGGCGCTCGTCCTCGCCTTCCCGTCGCACCTCGCGCCGCTGCTCAACGTCTCGCTCAACCGTTTGCGCGCCGCCGCCGCCGAGGCGGCCGCGGCGAAGGAGGGCGCGCCGAGGGAGGCCGCCACCGCCGCTCTACTCGGGCACGCGCAGGCTGTGGGCACGCTGCTCGGCGCGATGGCGCGCACGCCGCACGGGGGGCCGTCCTCCCTCGCCAACGCTGCGTTGCACGCCGCCGCCGACCTCGTTGCCGCGGGCGGCGCCGGCGGCGCGGCGGGCTGGATGCTCGTGCGCGCCCTCCTCTCGCTCCCGACCGAGTGGCTCTCCGCCAAGCCTCGCCTCACGCGGCTCTACGCGCTGCTCAAGGGCGCTCTCGCCTCTCCGCCGCCCGAGGTGACCCCCAAGCGGCGCGAGGCGGTCGAGGCCGAGCTGCACGCGCGCGCGCACGCGCTGCACGCTCTGTGCGCCCCCTCGGCGCGCCCCAGTAGCGAGCGTGGAGCCTCTCCTCACCTTGGCCTTTCATCAGGCGCGCCTTCCTCGAGCGCATGCCCGAGTCGGCGGCGCTGCCCCTCCTCAAGCCGGTCACTTCGACCTTTGTCCCACCCTCGCTCGCCCTCCTCGCCGCTTGCCGCGAGCACGCGCCTCGCCTGATGTCAGAGCCTTTCCGCGCCGCCTACATGCTCTTCCGCGCGCGGCTCTACGAGGTGCTGCTCGCGCTGCTGGCACGAGCAGCGTCGTGTGGAAACCACATCTGGACGTTTCCAACTGTGAGCAGGTGCTACTCGCTCTACCCTCCTCTGCGCTCACCGCCAAGGCGCGCGGCTTCGGGGAGGCGCCTCACCTTGGGCAGGATATCCCACAGCTTTCGCCGCGGCCGAGCGTAGGTGCTGAATGTGGTGATGCCGCTCGTGGTCGCCGACATCGTCGAGCCCGCCAACACGCATGGCGCCATTTGCACCGCCCTCGCGTCGATGCTCGCGCCCGCCGACGCCGTGCTCGCACCCGCCACCGCCCCCGACGCGCCCGTCGCGTCACTGCTCTGCGAGCCTCTCCGGGGCGCCACGTGCGCTGAGGCGAAGCAGGGGAGCGACGGCTCGAGCTGACAGCCCCGCATTCTTTACGCTTCGGTCTGCAAACAGGCGGAGGGCTCGTGCGAGTGGCTGGTTGAGCTACGTGGGGGCTCGCATGCGACGAGCGAGGGTGCTTGCCTCGACGCCGCTGTTGGCCTCTTCGGCGCCGTCTTTCGGCTGCAGACCTCGGACGTTCGGCAGCAGTTGCTCGGGCATTTGGGCAACGCGGCGGCCCGCGTCACCAAGGAGAGCAAGCCGAGCACGGGTGGCGGCTTCTTCGGCGGCGGCGGCTCGGACGCGGCCAAGGACGAGGCGCCGTCCGGGTTGGTCAACATTTGCGCCGCTTTGCTCGGGTCGCTGCAGCGCCTTGCCACCAAGCCGTCGCGTTCCGCTCTTCGCCCCGAACTCACACCCGCCTTTGCTGCCGTCCTCGCGCCGTGCCTCGCCGAGCCAGACGTCTCCGTCCGGCGCGGAGCCGCGCAGGCGGTGGGGCTGCTCGGCCAGCTTCTCGGCGCAGCTTACGCCGACGCCTTCTCGACCGCCGCCGCCAAGCTCCTCACGGACACGAAGGCAAAAGAGGAGGCCCGCGCCGGCCACGCGCTCGCGCTCGGGCTCCTGCTCTCCTCCTCCGCGCCCGCCGCTGCCGCCGACAAGCACGCGGCGTTTGGGCGCGTGCGGTCGGGCGTGCAGCTCCTCTGCAGCTTACTGCCGACCCCAGCCGCCGCCACCGCCACCGCCACTGCCTCGCCGCCCCCGGCCGGCGGCAGGCACGCTTCGGAGTGGGCTTTGCACTCGCTCGCACGCGTGGCGGCGGTGCTCGGGGGCGACTTCAGGCCGCTGACGGGTGCAACCCTCTCGGGCGTCTCCGCCGTCGCGCTCGCGCCCGCGCCGCCGCTCACAGCGAGGGCGGCGCAGGGGCTCGCCGCCTTGTCCACCACGCTCGCCGCGTCGCTGCTGCCCTCGCTCTCCGCGGCGGCCGGCGCTGGCAAGCCGCCGCAGCACAAAGGGGGGCAGCACACGGCGATGCTGTTCCGTTGCCGCGTCCTCGTCGCTGCTGCGCGCCGTGCCCACCCCCTCGACGGCAGGAGCGGCGGCGCCGCCGAGGCGCTGCTCGCTGAGGAGCTGCGCTTCGAGCGGCTCCTCCTCTCGCTCCCGAGTGGCACGCTCCCCTCGGCCGTCGCCGCGTCGCCGCCGGCGATCCACGAGGCGGTGCTGCGGGGACTCGCCTCCCGCCACCCAGGGTTGCGCGCTGCCGCCGTCGAGGCGTTGCGCGAATTTGGCGTCGCCGGGGCTGGCGGCGGGGCGACAGGACACACGGGCTACGCGATGCCGCCGTCGACTCTCGGCCGGGCGGCCGTGGCGTTGCTCAGCTTGATGGATGGCGAGGTGGACCGGGAGGCGCTCGACGCCGCCAAGCGCGTCACGCTCTCGCTGCTTCACGCAGATGGCGGGCAGCGGCCCATCTTTTGGCTCCGCACGTTGGGCGATGTGGTGCAGGAGGTGGTGCGGAGCGAGGCTGAGCTGCGAGGAAGCAACCGCGGAGACGACGAGGAGGCGGGCGGCGAGGAGGGCAGCGGGTGGGATCAGAACGCGTCGGGGCTGCCGACGGTGGGTGGCGATGACGAGGACGAAGAGGAGGATCGCAAGCGGCAGAAGGAGGCGCAGCTCGAGGCGGAGGAGAACGCGAAGTGGGCGCACGTGGCTCCGCGCTGGCAGACGCGTCTCTACGCCGCCGAGTGCGTGCGGCGTCTCCTCGACGTTGCCGACCACTCCGCGCATTACGACCTCACGCTCGCGCGCGAGGAGACCGAGCGCCAGGGCGGCAGCGGGGAGCGGCTCGTCCTGCATTTGGGCCGCCTCGTCTCGGTCGCTTTCACCGTCGCGACTTCGCGGATCGAGGCGCCGCGTGCCTGCCGGCGTGCTGAGGCTGCGGGACAAGTCCGTGACAGATCCCCGGAGTTGTGGTCCCCGTAGGCGATGCGCCCCGCCGGCGTGCTGATGCTGCTGGACGTGGTCGAGCGCTTTGCTGCCGCCCCCGACCCCGACTACCAGGGCCACCTCCTCCTCGAGCAGTCGCACGCGCAGCTGGGCGCGGCGTTGCGCCCTTGCTTCGGCCCCGAGGCGGACCCGTCCCTGACTGCTTCGGGTGCTGCGCTGCTCGCCCGCTACCTTCTTGCCATCTCGACCACTAGCGGCGGCATCCAGGTCGACCCCCCCCCCCCACACACACACTCAAATCCACCACCACGCCACCAACGCCGCCACCGCCGCCGCCGCCGCCGCCGCCGCTGCCGTTGCCGCCGCCACCACCACCACCCCACGCACCTCATCCCAGCTCCGTCCCCAACCCCCGTCCCCATGTCCACCCCTGCCACGATCCAGGTCGACCCTGCAGCCATCCGCAAGTTGCTCGCGCTACTCACCAAGCGGCTAACGCCAGCCGCCCTCGCCGCCATCTCCTACCCCGCCCTCTCCGACGCCGCCGCGACGATGGTCCGAACCACATCGTTGCGTGCGGCGGCGGCGTTGCAGGCGGCGGCGGCGCGGGAGCCTGAGGCACTGCCCGCGCTCAACCATGCGACTGCTCCCGTCGCTGTCTACGACGCGGTGCATCACCCGATCCATAGGCTCGTGCCGAGCTCTGCAAGCAGATGCAGCCGTCGCTAGTGGACTTGCGTTCATGCTGGATGGGGCTGTTGCGCGATCACGCCGCACTCTCGATCGCCGGCCACCGCCGCCAGGGATCAGGTGCAGGTGCCGCGCCGGGACGCGGGATGACACGTCTGCGGCGGCTGCGGTAGGCCGCGCCGCGAAGGGCTATGTGCCGCACTTGTACGTGCAAGGCGCCGCGACAGCCTCGCGCGAGCACCTCGAGCATGCCGCGCCGTTAGTCTTCGAGGCGCCGCCCTTTCGTCCATGGTTCGCCGCTGGGCGGCGTCTTCTCACATGTTTGCGCGAGACGTTGCGTAGGCCGCGCTCTCGATGGTTGCCACGCCAGAGTGGGTTGCAGGCCGGGGCGGCGGCGGCGGCGGCGGCGGCGGCGGCGGCGGCGAGGTTCGGCCCGAAGATCCGCATGCATCGGCGACACTTACTCCTATCGAGGCAGGGGAGGCGCGGCGAGATTTCGACTTGTTGCTTGGCATGTGCACGCACGCGCTCGCCGCCGCCGCCGAGCGACGACCGGCTGACGGCTCGCCACCAGACGCGAGGGACGACGAGGCGGCGGCATGCACGCTCGCATTGCCGCAGCTTCTCAGCGAGGCTTACTTGCAGCCCGATGTGTTGCCCCCCGGTTCGTTCGAGCTGTTGCTGTCGCTGCTTGCGCGGTTGGGCGAGGCGTCACCTCACCCGCAGATGCGGGATGCCGTTGCCGCCGTCGCCGCTCACCTCGCGCCGCGACTTGGGGGATACGCGGCCCCGCCCCCCACGGGCGACCTCGTCCCTCCGCTTGGCCGTTCGCCCGCCGACGCCGCGCGCCTTGTCGCCGCTGCGCAACAACTTTGCGCTGCGCCAGCTCTGCGCGCCATCCCCGCTTTGCGCGCTCCCGCTTCACTCTGCCAGCCGCCGCCGCCGCAGCCGCTCCCTGTTGCCGAGTTGCGCTCCCTGGCGCTTGCAGTGGAAGCTATCGCCACGCTCCCAGATTCGCTTCCAGCCGGCGCGGCATTGCCGTATTTGCCCACCGCGTTTACCGTCGTGCTGCGCGTGACCCATGCCGTTGCGACGTCGCCGCCGGTTGCCGACCCGCCGGGTGCGGCGGCGGCGGCTGCGCTGCGCGAGGCGTGCCTCAGCTCGGTGGCGACGTTGCGCAGGCGGTGCGCCGCGCCGGCCGATGCCGATGAGCGGCTGGAGGAGGCAAGTTCCGGTCTCGCCGTCGCAAAGGCAACGCTCCGTACGAGTGCCGCCGCCAGCGCGCTCGAGGTGCTGCAGGCCACGCCTGTCGCATCGCGCGGGCTGATGTTGCGCGCGGTGCTGGCGCTGGTGGAGGGGCTACCTCTGGGCGGTGGCGCCACGGCCGTGCATACGGGTGTGGCGGCAGCCGCGCGCGAGATGGTGGCGAGCGAGACGCAGGGCGAGGCGCACGCTGCGCTCCTCGCTTTCCTCGCAGCAATCAAGGAGCAGCCGGACCTCCTCCACTTTTACCTGACTGAGCTGCTCCCCGACGTCGCAGCCTCCTTTAAGACGGGCGGCGCTGCCAGTTGACGATCGGCATCCTCCACACGCGTGTTTGACACCCGGCGGTCTTGTGTAGGCTGCGACCGGCTCGGCGCCATCAAGCTGCTCCTGCTCGCGTGCACGCTCAGCTCAGCTGAGGCGGCGCCGGCGCTCTTCTCCCTCACGCTGCCGCTCCTCATCCACGGTGCACCCCTCTGCACGCCCGCTCTCCACCCGTGCCCAACCGCTCTTGTTGCCGGCCTCGGCCCGGACCCACTCCCACCCACGGGCGTCGCCCGGCAGGCATGAGCGTCGCCGCGGACGGGCCGCCCTCAAAGGTGGGCGCGGAGCTGTCGGCGGTGGCGCACGCCGCCCTCACGGCGCTCGCCAGCCGGTCGGCGGACGCATTCCGCGCTTCTGTCGCAAATTTCTCCACCGAGACGCGGTCGCGGATGGAGGTTGCCATCCGGGAGGAGCAGGCGAAGAAGCAACGCGCGGTGGCCGCGTCGCCCGGTGCCGCTGTCACCGCCGCCAAGCCCAAGATTGCGCTCAAGATGGACTTTGGCAGCTTCTCCGCCAAGGCGTAGGCGGGTGAGGCGTGAAGGTTGCAGCCCCGGTGCGACAGCATCCGACTGCTGCGGCCCTGAGTGTGCGTGTGTGAGTGTGTGCGCGATGCTGCTGAACTGCTCTCTTTCGTCTTTGCACTCTGGGCGGATCCTACATGCTACATCTCATAGGGGTACCTCGTAGGGGGCTTCGTCCCCGGGAGCGGGACCCGGAGAGCTCTCTAGTTTTTGTGTGTCGGTAGAAGCGTAGAACATATGTCTTGTGTGCCGCCCCCGCCGAGCTCGCAGAGCTTCCGCGCACAACCCCCCTACAACCCCCTAGGGCCCTACGAGACTCATCTCTCATGCAATTTCTCCCCCCTCGCCACGACGTGCAAGCTGCAACGACGCCTCGCAGTGAGAGTGGTAGTGCCATATCGCCATCGCGCGAGACTGCACACACTCGACACGAGAGACCTGTCGTAGACTCATAGTGTCGAGGTGACCTGACCTCGCGAGAGGCAGACGTGACGAACGCTTGCCCCTCTCCTAGCCCCACGGTAAGGAGCCAGCCGCCCTAGTCGGAAGGGAGAAGGTGGCGCCTTTCCAGCGCCTGCCTCAACGAGCGCTCCTCAAACAGAGCCGCGCGCAACGCGTCAATCTCGGACACCGCGCGATCGAGCCGCTCCTGCAGCGCCAGCACGAGCTGCTCGCTAGTCTTGTGCAAGGCCGGCCCGTCGCGGAAGACCTCAAAGTCCTCCGAGGGCGCAAGCTGCGGCGCGGGCTGATGGTCGACCTCAGCCCAGACTCGTGAGGGCGCAAGCTGCAAATGGGGGTGGGCAAGTGCGACCGCCGCCTGAACCTCCTCCGCCAGGTCGTCTCCCGCCTCTGCGCCCTCGGTAGGGCGACCCGCTTCGCCGTCGAACGGCAGCCCCTCTCCGGACGCAGCTCCGCCGGGGGCTCCGGAAAGGGAGGACTCTTCGACGTCGGCGACGTCGGCGCTGGCAGCCTCGGTGTCCTCGCTCAGCAAGCGCAACACTCGCGGACGCAGCTCCGCCGTGAGCTCCCCGCTGGCCGCCGCAACGGCGCCGAGCGGTGACACGTTCTCCTTTACCTCCGTCGCCTCCTCCTCCGCCTCCTCAGGCTCTCCGAAGTCGGGAGGGACAGCAGCGGCAGACTCCTCAAAGCGCTCCGGCGGATCCGCAGGCAGCGCCGACAGTCGCCGCGCCGCGAGGTCCTCAAAAGCGTGCTGCGCCTGGGCTGGCGAGAGAAGGGGGGCCTCGCTCGGGGGCGCCGTAGCAGCCGGTGTCGCGCTGCTGCCGCTGCCGCTGCCGCTGCCGGCTGGCGCGGCAGCTGCGGCGGTGGCGGTGACGGCCGCGGCGACACACTCCTCGACACACTCCTCCAGCTTCAAGGCGGGGGAGAGCAGGTGCGAGGATGCGAGCTGCGCATTCTCCTTGTCAATCGAGCCGTCCGTCACGAGCCGCCTGAGGGCGAGCGGGTCGGTGAGGGGAGACGCCGGGTGCGGGGGCGGAGCCGGGGGACAGCCGCGCGCGTGCCGTTGCGTTAGGGTGGAGGCGGATGCCAAATCGACGTTGAGAGCGGCGCCTTGACCCAGAGCGGCGGCCTCCTCCGTCGATGCGCTGCACCGCCGCTCCGCCTCCCCGGAGCCCACAACCAACCGCGGCGCCGGCGGCAAATGTGGCGTGGTCGGGTCGATCAGCAGCGGCGAGCTGCTCTTCGCCTCAGCCTTGGTCGCATTCGCTGTGGTGTCCTGCGCCTCTGGCAACTCGGGCGGCTCCCAAAGTTGGCCGGGTGGCGGCTTGAAGAGGACCACGTCGATCCCCTCGTGGCTGGCGGCCAGCCGTCGCGTCGGAAGTGCCCCGGGGCGGGGAACGCGAGGCTTGCGTAATGGCGCCCGGTCTGGTGCCACCCCGGCGGGCATGGCGGCGAGAGCCTCGCCGACAGCCGAGCGCACCGCGGCCACACGATCGTAGCGCAACGCCTAACAACCCACACCGGGTGCACGCTGAACGCCACACCGGATGCTGCTAACAGGTCATGCCGAGGCACGCCTCGAGCGCCGCCCTCAGCGGAGAGATCAGAGCCGCGCTCGCGGGTGGCGGCTCGCCATTAGAATCGTGGGAGAGGGCTTCCAACAGCGCGGCGGCAGCGCGCGCGGCGGCGGCACGCGCGCGGTGGTCGGACGAGGCGAGGACCTGAGCGAGGGGGGAGGCGCTCGTGAAGCGGCGGGAGTGGTGGTGGTGGTGGGGGGGGGAGGGGGGGGGTTGGGGGCCTTTGTGATGGCAGTCACAATCGCCGCGGCGGTAGGCGTCGAAGCGGCGGTGAACGGGCGAGGCGAGCGGTCAATCGCGGCGGCGAGAGCGAGGCAAGCCGCTTGTGGCGCGAGCGACTGTGCGAGCGACTTGGTGAGCCGAGGCAGGAGCGACCCGATGGACACCTCCACGTCGGCATCGGCAGCGCGCTCTAGGACCGCTACGATGGCGATGGCCGCCCCCTCCTGCATTGCGGCGTTTGGAGCGGAGAGGGCCGTGACAAGAGGCGAGAAGAGGACCGCCAGCCGCAGGCTCGCGACGGAGCCAAAAGCTGGCCCACCCTCAACCGGCGGGAACTGCGAGAGTGCTGCAGCTATCCGGCCAAGCGCAGCGGCGCAAGTCTCTCGCTGGCGAGCGTCGCCGCGTCCAATCTGCGCAACGATGGCGGTGACAATCTTGACTGCGTTCGGCAAACACTCCAACGGCGACGTCTCAAAGGCCTCGGCCAAAATGGAGACGGTCTCGCACGAGGCAACCACTCCCGGCGCCCTCCTCAGGTTCTTCAGGAGCGCGCTGAGGAGAGAGCTGAGGGAGCCGGCCTCGAGACATGCGCGGAGCTCGAGCGCGCCCTGCCGTTGCGTGCTGCGCGCGTCGAGCTTTTCGAGCGCCTTCGCCGTCTTGTACTCCATCCGACGCTGGGGCGAAGGCCTCGAAACGAAGGCCTCGAAAACGAAGGCCTCAAAAGACCAGAGGCCTCAAAAGACCAGTGTGGTGCGCCCAGGTTCTCGCGCGCAAACACCGAATTCTTCCTTTTGGGCGTCTGCCTCTTTGTCTCTCTTCGCAGCTCTCGCGGCTACCTTCTCCCTCCCGCCTTTCGGCGCAACTCTGCCCTCCTCGCGGCATATTTTAGCACGTGTCTGCTTTTCATCTCCTGCAGGTGGGGACCCTGTCCTCCTAGAATCCCTCGTGTGAGTTTTTCTTTTTTCTTTTCGCCCAACCAACCCCGGGGTGGGAGAGCTCACCCAATCGGCCGCCATCCATGCGGTCTCTGGCATAGAGAAACGTAAATAATACGAATACGCGGCCGGAGCTTCCGCGTTCCGGGGTAACATCTATGTGGGAGAGCCCCCTGAACGTTCCCGCACAGGCGAAAGGACAAGACGATTTAAAAACACGCAATGCCTGATCTGCCAATGAAATCGTTGGTCGCTTCAGTTCACAGTTCACGAAGTCCCCTGATGGACCGACCTGCGGCCTACGTGTGCTACGACTCAATCGGTCAAGGGTGTGGGTGAGGCTGAGGGTGTGAGAGGGAGGGAGCGGAGAGATTTTTGAAAACCAACAAGAAATCACGACTCTCGCAGTGAGGACAACAACCTCTCAGCGGTGAGGTTGTGTAACCTCAAGTTGTGTCGGCCGCGGGGCAAAAAAAGGATGTGCGTCCCGGCACTGTTAGCAACAACAATCAACATCTGCGACATAGCATCCGACTTGTGGTAGGGCGAGACGATCGAGGGGTCCCGTACCACATGCGGAATCGACCCTCCTCTCCCTATCTCCTTAGGGGACCCCTAGGGTTCTGAGGGCCGGATTTTTAAAGAGCTTTTAAGAAGTGAAGGAGGTTTGGGGGCTTAAATTGCCATTTAAGAGATTGCAGGCACAGAGGGGGTCCCTCTTTTAAGACCGATTGAGAAAATCGGCTTCACAGCACGCGTCGCTGGGTTCCGCGCCGTTCGTTTTTAGCGTTTTCTCCAATACTGCCGTTATTAGGCACAAACCCGCCACCCTCTGAAGACACATCTGTAAGTCTGGTGCACTGGCCAGGAGCCCATAGACACTCACATGATGGGGGACGCGTGCTAGCTGACTGTAGCCAGCTTCCCGGGCTCCGGCGTCTTCCGGGAGCCTCCCGGACCATCGACCTCGGGAGCTCTCCCGCACCTTTTAAGCGTTTAAGACCGTTTAAACGGATTCGGCGTTTAAGACCGTTTAATGATTCGGTTGCCCAGCAGCTCTTAAAACCTGCCTAGGCAGGTTTTAAGCCGTCTAAGCCGCAGGCGCCCCAAGGGCCCAACCTTTTAAGCCTATGGGTCCCCTAAGCTATCTCAGCGGTGCACAACCCCCCCAGCGGTGCACAAACCTGCAGAACGCGTGGTGTGTGGACTGACGAGACGCGAAAAGACTCTTACCTGTTACCCTTCACATCATTCCTACGATGGCCGGCGCACTGCCTGACCACAACACGCCCCGCGAAACGATATGACCAAAACGCCGACACCGGGAAGACCTCACGTGTACGCACGTCTCTCTCACGTGTACACAGTCAGTCACACACCCGCACACACACACCACACACACACCACACACACACACACCGACCTAACCCGACCTCTGACTCACCCTTCACTCCCTCCGACGCACAGCCGCTTGGGTGCCGAACCTTCTCACTTGGCCGCGCGCCGCGGCGGCGAGGAGAGGGAGGGCATTGTTTTTCGCGGAACTTCCCCGACCGGGTCGCTTTCGCGGGGGTGAAGTGAGCGGCGGAGGCGAAGGGGGTCGACGGTTCGGATGCGGCGTGAGCGCCAGCGGCGGCCGCCGCGCTGGAGGCCCTCTTCGCCCGTTCGATCGTCGTCGGGCCGCAGCCTCGATCGGCTGCTGCGCAGGCGGCGAGGCGAACGCTGTCTGCACGTCGCAGGCGCCGGCTATTGCGTCGAGCACGTTGCCGTAGCCTGCACGGAGGCTCTGCAGGAAGGGGGGCTGCACGTCGGCGACCGACACCAGCTCGGCGTTGAGCTGCCCCCACGTCGTGTCGACGAGCAGCACGTCGTAGTCGAGGATCTTGAGCACCTCGCTCTCCATTTCATGCAGGCGGCAGAGGCGCAGGTGAGGCAGCGCCTCTCGGAACTCGTCCAGCGTCACCTCGTCATCGTACCACTCCTTGGCCGCGATCGCCAGGGCGGTGAGGACAATCGGCCGCACGGTGGCGCACTCCAGGAGGTGCTGCATGCGCTCGACCAGCGCCAGAGCCAGGACCAGAACAGGGTCCTCGAGCGACAGCGCCATTGAAGTTGCAGCGAGCAGTGCCGCGATTTCTGCGCAGAGCTCCAGCTCCGTGTGTGCTGCCCGCACTCGCGCCCAGCTGCAGGTGCCGCACGTGCAACAAGACGCGGGCACCAAATCAAAGATGAAGGCGCATCCCAGATGTGTGTCGGCATTGAGCTCGCAGAGCCTTGATCCAGTGAGCCTCAATCCGGGCAGCTGCGGGAGAGCTGTTTGGCTGTTCGCCGTCGTCGAGGGAGACCCGACCCTTGAGGCGATGGCCTTGGCCACAGCGAGCAGGGTCGCCTCTGAGGCAACGTCCGTCTCGGTGCTTCCCCGGGGGCGCATTTTGTTCGGGGCGGCCCAAACTTGCCCCTTTTACGTCCGTCGAAGTCGCCGGATGAGCCGGATTCTCAACGTCCCACCCCGGTGAACCACGTCTCCTCCCTTTTCTGCTTTGCGCGCCAGTCCCGTGCCCAATGTTGTGCGAGGGAGTTTCGTTGTAAAATTGAATTCTGCTTTTCTCCCAGTACTAACTAGGGAGGGGCCTAGAGAACACACCTCGCTCGCTCTCCCCTTCCTTCCTTTCTTTCTCCATCCATCCAACCAAGCTAGATAACCCCGAGAGCTAAAGGTCAACATCCTCTTCGGTTACGACAATGTGAACGTGCCGTCTCCTCCTAGGTCTCCTCCAGATCGAGACGGACTCCATGGACGGCCGAGCAATATTTCTTCATTATTATTATTATTAATTGATGCTTTTTGCACGGCTGAGCCCCCCTCCCGCCCCCCTCGCCCATTCCCTGCCCTCTCCCGCCACGCGCCCCGTCCGAGCCCTCTCTCCGCTCTTGCACAACAGGAATTTTCACAATTAAATCAGACGGCCCTATATAGTGCATCCGACGGTCCGGATTCTGCTGAACAAGCTCTTCTTGTAGCTCGATCGGTCACACCGCCATCGCCGTCGGGGAGAGGGGGGACGACACTGCTTCGGCAGCGTGCACCTCGATCCTGTACCGTGTTTGTTATGACCCCCCCCCATGAGCACACCAGTGAGGGTGGGCGAGACGATCGAGGGGTCCCGTACCATGCGGAATCGACCCTATCAAGTGCTCAAGTGCTCAAGATGGCCCTTTCTCTCTCTCCACAGGTGGAAAAACAATGATTCAATCGATGGGCCTGCCCATTCCGGAGTGGTTCGAACCCACACAGACCCGAGACGAAGGGAAACGTCGTGGGCGGTCTCAGGCCCAGTGTAGTGCGTCTGACTATCCCGGATCCTGCAGAACAAGTTCCTCTTGTAGCTCGGTCGGTCACACCGCCATCACCGCCGACGTCTCACAGTGAGATGATGGAGAGGGGGGACGACACTGCTCCAGCAGAGCGTGCACCTCGATCCTGTACCGTGTTTGTTATGACCCCCCCCCGAATGAACACACCAGCGAGGGAGGGCGAGACGATCGAGGGGTCCCGTACCATGCGGAATCGACCCTATCCAGTGCTCAAGTGCTCAAGTGTCAAGATAACCCCCTACCTACTCGAATTTGGAAACGCTGGCTCTTACGAACATACCCGGGGGTGGACTCTGACTTGGCCTGCATATACATATGTTTTCCGGCAAAAAGGAAAACAGAGGGCCCCCAGCACTTTGCGTTTCCGGAAATTTCAAGGGAAAACATAGGGTGTTTGGGATTTTGGTGCTCTCCATTCTGGAAACTCGCGTTCCGACTCGCGAGTTTCCCTGAGAGACTATGGAGAGTTCACGTCATGACGGTTAGCCGCTGTCATGACGGTTAGCCGCTGTCATGACAGCTGCCAGCTGTCATACAGCAAACGACAGCGACAGTGACACCTACCTGTCACCAGCTGTCACCAGCTGTCACCAGCTGTCACCAGCTGTCACCAGCTGTCGTTGCTGCTGTCGTTGCTGCTGTCGTTGCTGCTGTCGTAACCATCCCCGACGGTCCAACTGTCACTGCTGCTGTAATTGCGCAGCTGTCATTCCTGCTGTCATTGCTGCTGTCATCGCTGTCGTTGCTGCTGCTGTGCTGTCATTGCTGCTGTCATTGCTGCTGTCATTGCTGCTGTCATTGCTGCTGTCATTGCTGCTGTCATGAGCACCCCCGCAGGACAGTGTGTGGTGCCACTAGCGAGAGAGACAGGACACTCAAGATATAGATGCATGCGCGCGAGACCGCTCACTCGCACGCCCGACGCCACATGAGAAACCCTCTCAACAGTAGCCACGCACGGTCAGCAGCAGCGGGCGTGAGTCGGAGAATCTGCAAAACCCTTGCCCTCCTTCCTCCAGCATGTGCCGTGATGGGCTCCAGCGCTGGTTCATCTGCCGCTCAAAAATCTCACGCGAGCGAACGGTGTCAATCCTCAGCCGCGAGGATTGGGACCTTGAAATCACGATCACAAGCAAACGCGCAGAGCATTGAGCAACACACCTCGGGTTGAACCTCTCAAGGTGCATGCTGTCACCGGCAGTCTGCATGTGGATCGTAGACGATGACTATGGCTGGAATAAGCTCAAGTTCGTTCACGAGGGCTATGGCTGCCTCACGGCTGTGCCTGTGGCGCTGCCTCGCTGTCGCTGTCGCTGTCGCTGTCGCTGTCGCTGTCGCTGTCGCTGTCGCTGTCACTCGCGGGGCCCCGCGCTGACATTGTCACCGCCTGTCGTTGGCATTAACTGGCTTCACTGTCACTGTCACTATGGCTGTCACTGTTCCTGGTGCCTTTCACTCCTCCTTGGCAGCTGGCTGTCACCAGCTGTCACCAGCTGTCACCAGCTGTCACCAGCTGTCACCAGCTGTCGTTGCTGCCGTCGTTGCTGCTGTCGTTTCGCAGCCGCTGTCATGACATGTTGACCACGTCATGACGGTTAACAGCCGTTTTAACCGTCATGACGTGAACTCTCCATAGTCTCTGAGTCTGAGAGCTGGTCTGCGTCTCTGGGGCAAAATCTGAGGCAAAATCGAGGAAACCGGCAACATACCACATTACCGGGTATTTTTCAGGTATATACCCGGGAGCCGGGTTTCCAGGTATACCCGCAAAATACCCGGTATTTTGCCGTTAATTTTGGCTGATTTTGGGCCCAAACCAGCCTCAGACTCGGCTCAGAGCCCGGAAAAGTTGATGGTTTCCCCGGGAAAATAGAGAGGAAAAGAGAGGGTGCTGTTAGAGAAAAAAGGAAAGGAAAAGAGACGGGTGCGAGAGGAAAAGTATAGTCAGCCATCTCTGACAGGTTTCGCTCATGCGTTTTTGTTTGTCCAGTCTGAGAGAGATTTTTGAAAACCAACAAGAAAACACGACTCTCACAGTGATTTATTTGGGCTCGGCAGCTTGTCAGCCCTCACTCACTCAGCCGAAGCTGGGGCCGTTCTCTCCTTCTGAGCACGGGCGTCAAACAAACGACTGCAGAGGCCCCTAGAGAGGCCCGCGGCGCTTACGGGGCTAACTTTACGCTAGAGCCTACGACGCACGATCGATCGGGCTCATCAATCACGTCATACTAGCACCCTCCCCGAGCTCAAGGAGAAGGGCGAGAGGGGGGACGACACTGCTCCAGCAGCGTGCACCTCGATCCTGTACCGTGTTTGTTATGACCCCACCCAATGAACACACCAGCGAGGGAGGGCGAGACGATCGAGGGGTCCCGTACCATGCGGAATCGATCCTATCTATCCAGTGCTCAAGTGCTCAAGAAGGGCGCGAGGCGCTCCTCCGGCAGCACCGCCGGCGTCCTCGGGTCAAACAGCTTTCTGTCTGCGGTCGGCGGTGGAGGAGGGCGAGGTTGCAGCCGCTCGCAGTTATTTCCCCTAATCTCAACCGCAAGAAAAGAATTCTTTTAATACAAGCCTCTCTCACAGCACACCTCTCGACCGGTAGGTAGGTAGGTAGAAAGGTGAAGAACAGCCAGGCTCGGACTGGACACCAACGCGGTATGGGTGGACGCTAGACGGCTAGACAGATGATGACGACACGCACGAGCGACACACAGACACAAACAGGCTCACAAGACACACAGCCAGCTGGCTGCCACACACCCTGAGTTGGCGTACACATAACTCAAGGCCACATCCTCCCTGTCGCCCCCCCCCAGCACTCCAAGGTGCCAAGAGAACAAACAAGGGCACAACAAACAACAGACGACTAGAAGTAACATGTGAGACTAGAGCAGACCGCTCCGCCTCTAGCAATCTCGCCGGCCGGCGAGGCACGGACGAGACCGTGTGTGGGGTCTTGTGAGGTGTCTATGGACGCCCTCCTCAGAGGCTAGCTGCCTACTGCTAGCCCTATCTCGCACTCACGGGCAGTGACAATTCAATGGGTGAGTGTTTGCGAGCAGAGGCGCGTGGGCTAAATCTAGGCCGCACGTCGTGGCACTATGACGAAGTTAGACGTGCGGCCGCAGCGCGCCCGCCGCAGGCTCGGCGGTGCGCGCGTGTTAGCGAGAAAGTTGCGGGTGGAGCCATGCCCGACTTTTCGAAGGTGAGGCCTCTGCGACGAGTGCCAGCCGCGCTGCGGAGCCACCCCTTCGAGCCGCGTCCCGTCGGCACCGTCCCTGAGTGCACATCGACGGCTTACTTCCTCTACACAGGCAAAGAAGAAAAAAACTCGCAGACCCGTGCGCGTGGTGTGAGGCACGCCCTAGCCGCTCCCTCCCCTACCCGGCCGCGCCCGCCCACGCATCCCAATCTGCGGCACGGTCGCCGCTCCGAGGGCATGGGAGCGGCGCCCCGCCCCCGCCCGGACGGCGCGCCGAGGGGGAGGCCTGAGCGCCGCGTAAGTCCCAGACGACTGGGCGGCACCCCTCGCCCGCCGTCCTGATCCCGCGCTGCCCCCGCACCTCCAGGGCTACCGGCAGCATGGCGAAGATCGCGAACGCCCACCTGCGCTCCTGCATCCAGCAAGTCCTGGAGGGCTCCGAGGAGAAGAAGCGCGAGTTTCTCGAGACGATCGAGCTGCAGATTGGCCTCAAGAACTACGACCCGCAAAAGGACAAGCGCTTCGCGGGCAACATCAAGCTGCCGCACATCCCGCGCCCCAAGATGCGCGTCTGCGTGCTTGGCGATGCCTTTCACTGCGAAAAGGCGTGCGCGGGATGCGCGTGCTGCACCGCCGCGCCACTTCCCCCGCGCTATTGCGCGCAACGACCCCCGCCCCAAACCACCCCACCACCGCACCGGCCCGCGCGCAGGCTGGTTCGCTCGGCCTGGATCACAAGAATGCGGACGGCCTCAAGAACTTCAACAAAAACAAGAAGCTCATCAAGAAGTTTGGTGCGCGTGGCCCCAGCCGCCTGCCCTCTTCCTCGCCCCATTCATCAACTGGGCGAC